AAATACATTACATCCCATTTGAATATAGTGTATTTACTTTAGCTGGACTGATAATTGCAAATTGATTAACCCATGCAGTACGTCTGCATACTATATAGTGTTTCCATTGGCTATTTATCAGCCTGTTAGACAATTAATTATACAGTACTTAATTTTGTACTGAGAGGGACTGACCAAGAGAAAAAACTCCAGTTAAGCTGACATACCTGGACTCAGTTCTGAAAGTGCACAGTGTGTAATAAACTAAACAAAAATAAAAAATAAAGTTAGCAGCAGACAACACCAATTACTGAGTACAGTCCCCCTACCTGCAGGCAAGAATCATTTGAGTGTCACTAAAGTTTTTTTTTAGAATCTGTTTCTGTTGCTTTTTACTATATTATCAGTTTAAAATGCATTTTGGCTAATTTCTTCAAAAGAAAAAATTGAATAAATGTCAGTGATCAGAGTATAACCACGAATTGCCAAACTGCATAAAGTGGATTATTTAAATATGCCTTAATCCTCACTATGTTATTTTTAAAGGGATTATAATTTTATACAGTAACATAAGATTGGCACTTATTTTAGCAGGGTGTGGTGTTATTTGCTGTCCCTACCCTTTCAGCAATCTCTTCCTGCAGTAAACCTTCAATGAAAGAAGCTTTATCCAAGCGCTAGGAAAAACTCCCCTGTAAAATGCAAACACTAACAACCATACTTAATCAGCTGACTTACTGGTTAAGAAAGTCAAGGTATTGATTATACAGGTTGATTGAGAGATGACTTGGGCTAAATATGTTTTTGTAAGTGACATACAGTAATTCATGAAATATGCACTTGAGACAACATTCCTTGAGCTTCATAATAGATCTCTTTATGTTAAATATAACCGAAATATATCTGGAATGCACTAGTCTGTGCGACTGAACATAGGTAAAAAGATAGGATTTCTATGATGACATACTTGATATATGCAGTATACAGTGCACAATCGCATTGATATCTACTGTAGAAGTCCAGACAACAGCATTCAATATCAGCATGAATTTTATGTCACAGATAATAGTTTGGAACATGTAAAGAGAGGAAATGATCACAAAAGGGGATTTGTTTCACAAGGTGTCAGAAAAGGATATTGGTGAGAGCTGAAGGCTGTTTGAGACATTGGGTCAAAATCACAGGAAACACAACAGCCTTTCCAACAGTAAAATGAGGTGCAATGAGAGTGAGTGAGTTACCTAATAGAATCAGTGTTGTCCTACCTTTACAAAAGGTAAACTCAGCATGATTTAATTAAAAGCACAGTAAAGCTGCAGTAAATGACAGTGAAATTGTGGTAAAATGTGAAAATGTCATAAAACAACATGACATAAGTTGGTATGAGCATGAGACCACTGCAAACCTTTCTTTCACTTACCATAGTAAATCAGTTTACAAAACTTTTGGAAGGGAATCAAAGTGTGTTAATTTGCTTTTAAGGAAATACGACCCTTTATACTAGAAAGAAAATGTGATCTTACTGTAGATGTAACTGTCACTGATTTCTTATGCCAACCATTTTTTGACATTTTTAGTACTTCTTTCTATTCATTGGTTTTCTAACTACTCTACCCAGTATAGGGTTGCAAGAGATCCGCAGCCTGTCCTGGCAAGCAATGGGTGCAAATCTGAATACACCCTGTACAAGATGCCAGTCCATTGCAGGGCAGTCACAGACACAAACACAGACACACATGCTCTCTCACATCTACAGCCAATTTTCCCAGAAGCCAATTACCTACCAGTAAGCCTTTGAACGTTTTGAGGAAACTGGAGCATGCAGCGGAAACCCATGCAAACAAGGGGAGAACATATGGACAGAGCTCCACTCCTCTCAATATTGTTTCCTTAATTATACAATGTACAGTATTATTCAACAAATACCCTTCTCCCAGAGTCTTTCGGTTCACAAAACAGAATAAGTTCGTATTACTTGTCTGTAGAGACTAGTAAGCATGTAATAGACTTTTCAGTTACTCTTACAACTTTCCGAGCCCATATTATTTGAACTTTTTTTATGAGCGTTGCTGGAAAGGTTGCTATTGATTCACACCCCTCAGGCTGTGTATGTTTTTATGGTTTTATTCTGATATCTCACAGCCCGTACAATGGAAAGGAAAGTCCCACGCATATTCCTTTCTTTCATCCCCTTCATTCGTATCAGCAAAGACTAATGGTTTGACAGATCTCCGATTTCTGATGTCGGAAGGAAGCTGAACATCACAAGGTTGCAGCGAAAATTAAGTAAGGGCAGGCAGACGTTTTCTGATGGTTGCTGTCGTTGAACACAAGTGGGATTTTTTGAAAGAGTCAGGTTGAGCATGTTTGTGTCTTGGGCAGGTAGTTAAAAGGAAACCATTTCAGTACCAGACTGCAGAGTACTGACTCTGAGCACAGCTGCTGTGAAATTTAGTGATACACTGAGAGATGCTTTCTTAGATACAGAACACCTCAGAAAAACCACAAAGTCAGTAGCAACAGCTGTTTTACACCAATTTCCTGCAAATTTAGCTTCCTGCGTCAGAAATCACTCTTGCTTCAATGTGCAGTGCGTACTCTCCTTTAGGTGTGTAACTTTTAATGAGTTTTAATGCAAATAGTGTCATACACCTTTATTTTGCTAAAGGCATGGAAAATGTAAAGCACTATTCCACAATACAAATTGAAATTATTCATGTGACACATACAGATTTCTTTTTAAAGAAATCTTGGGTCAGTTTCATAGGATCTAGGTTAAAATTAAGAATATTTTTTCTTCGACAAAAAGTCAGTCCTCATATTTGTTTCTGTAACTGGTCATTATGTCATGGATAAAGCCATGCTATATCAATGTTATTTTTTGTTGAGTTGAACACGAGTGATTTGTTCCTAATCCCTGAGGACGAAAAGCACTGTTTGCGCTTCAATATGGAAGCACATTTTTGCATAGATATAACAAGAATTACAAAAAACAGTTATTTTCCAAAATATTCCAAAAAGCACATTCTACTTTACCAATAAAACTTTTAAAATCAGTGTATTACATGTTCATATTGTAACTGATGATTCAGTATTTGCATCTGAAACTCTTCATCCTGGATGTTAACAGCACAGAATTTTTTTTCGATGTGGATATAATGAGAGTTTGCTGCTTGCAGGAAACCCCCACTGGTATGGCCTAGTTTCCAGTGAAGTGTATTCACCTCTGGTTCTGAGTAATAAACATTTTCAGTTTCCTTGCCTTTTTCCTAGATTTAACATTACTACATATACTAACTCTATATTAACTATTTGTATTACTAAAATACAGAACATTCTTTCTACTGTGTCTATTGTGGGGTGCTTTGAATTGAATTCAATTTGTATCACTCTTCAGTGGTATAACAAAATACACACTAATGACTATTTGTGACATCTCAGCACTACCTTTTCCCCACATTTTACTATATAATTTTGTATATGAGAACCCCAAACCTAGCATTTGATGTCAGACCCAGGGACTGTGAAATTGAATGTGTGTTGGGGTTATTCAAGTAGATAACAAACAGGCAAAGTTATGAAAGTAATCATACAGACATGTTCAAGTGGAGAACTGTGAGAGCATTCAAACAAAGGGACAAGCATGGGATAATTCCACACTAATTAGAAGAAATAATGTTTTGGCTGCTGAGTCCTCTTCAGGTTGAAGGGGACAAGAGAATTGCAGGGATGCAAAGCAAAAGAGAACAAAAGGACAGAGCAAGTGAAAATGGGCACAGCAGGTGAGAAAGGATGTCCAGACAATTGGAAATCTGAGGGAGAGGTGTAAAAAGCAGAAATCCGTAAATTAATGGAGAGATTCTCAGAAGAAATTAGTCACTGAGAGTTGGTGTATGGTGTGATCCATGTTTAAGAATACTCTTAAGGATGGAAGGATGTCCTTTTGGACTGAGATTCCTGGAAACCATGTACAAGGGTAATGGCAGGTCACTGTCATTTGTGGCCAAGAGAGGTGAAGTGAGACCTGTGGAATTACATCCAAATAATGTGCAAGTCAGTTTAACCGCTATTATTAAGAAGTCAGAGTAAAGTGTTGACACAGAAACCATGACCTTCACTTTTTAAAAGCTTGCTAAAAACCTCACTACTGTGGTAAGAGAACAAGTGCCTTCTGGCACATACAACCACTTTTATCAATGATTTATCCTCGATGTACAGCATGCACTACAGCAACAGAAAAAAACTTCCAAGCTTCCAGGTCACATTACTGATCCTTTTTTAGGCTTGTAAAATAATTTGGTTTGCCTTCCATTGTAATGGTTCTTATAGGGTTCACCCTACCATGACTTTTCTCAAGCCAATGTAATTTGCAGCATTGAATTCTGTGAACTAAAAAAAAAATACACCTCATTTTAAGTCATTTTCAACCATTTTTTAAAATGCACTTTCAACAAAAATAATTTTTCAGACAGCGCTGATCAGCTTAAAGGTTTCAATACTTTCAGAATAACTACCACTTTCCACTATTAGTGGGAGCCACTCAATACAAAACTTGTGCTTGCACATTTTCGTGTTCTCTAAGCAGCAGGTGATGAGTAAATTGTAGTAAATTATAACCTGCTTAGAGGAAGAAAGATTTAAGGAAATGTTTTTTTGCCAAATTTCCCCCCCAACGGTTCCCCTTAGCACAAAAGCCTCCTACTACAAAAGAGAAACTCATTCTGCATGCATCTCATTAGTTATGCAAGCTGTTGAAGTAAGCAGCTGGCGCATTGGCGGTGAGAGGTCAATTCTTCCTGAATAGAGAGCGTTAGCTTCTCTGCTGACTATTGTGCTCAGACCGCTCCTGAGCCAAACTCCATGCGTGTTTCTTTGTGTCAAACGTCCAGCATCAGCTGCGTGCCCCACATTGTTGCGTGATAAAGTGAGTCTACAATGTGTTTGCTAAACTGCTGCTGTTCAAAATCACCTTATGCGTTCTGAAGGCTGCAGAGATCATTTCACAACACACGACGCAATAGTACATTTAATCGTTTTATTGCGATGTTCACAAACATCCTGTAAAATTCACAGCCATACATTGAATAATTTGATCCATTACGAAACTGCGTACAAAAATATCTGCGTAATAGTTTTTTTTTTTATATTATACCGATTCTGAAATACCTGTTCGGTTAAATCAGTCCGTTCCACATTTTTTAAAACTTGTTCTAGCTTCCAGTTTCTCTAAAAACGTTCAGTCTTTCATGCGAGTCTTTCAGTCCATTGCCGGTACTCTGCACAATGCACTTCCTCTTTGCATCCTTCGTCAAGCCTCCACACCATTCAAAAATTCAAGAGCTCTCCTCCGCTCTCCTCTGTGGTATACCAGGCCCCGCACTGCCAGTGAAGTTGGGGGCACCTTGGTACGAACCGTCCTCCTGCAGATCCCGTTGCACTTGATTCCTTGTCACCTCAAAGGACATTTTCTGTACGCCCGCCCATGCGACTTTCATCTGAGCCCTCAACAGGATAATCCACAGATCTCAGGAATATGTCGGGTCCCCCTCGTATTCCAGGTTATTAATGCACCAAAGGTTAAGCATCTTCAATTTCTGAAAAGTCCCAGTTCATCGCTCAGGGAGCGTAATTGCAGGCACCCACTCGTAAACGTTACGACTCTCCTCGCAAAACAAGCTCAGCTTCTCCAGAGCCGGGTCCTTCCATGAATCCAAGTTTGGGTTCTGTAATAGGAGCAAAACGAAGAGATGGTAATTAGAAAAAGTTTTTTTTTTTAAATCTGCATAGATTTTTAAAGCAAAGACGGACTGACGGACATCACTGAGGAGACTGTTCGTACCGTGACGAGAATGCAGTGCGCATCTTGGGGTTCGCCTGACTCATCGCTCCCGACAATCTCAGCCAGTCGCTGGATGTCATTCACCCTCACGATGTTGATGTCGTTGTCGAAGCAGAAGGCCTGGATTAAGGTGAAGTGGATCTGCAGAGCGATGTCGCACTCGTACTCCTCATCGGTTGCCAGAACACAGAAAGCCACGCTGTCTGGGTCACTGCAAACATAAAAATTATAACGCAATTTAGGATTTGTTTGACTCAGCGGAACATAACAATAGAATAACTGGTCTATTACCGGGAGTTAAGACTATATTGATAATACTTACACATTCATTACTTTTGCAGACTCGTACACTCCCACTGTCAGGTTTTCTTGTTTCTTAGCGGAAACCAGGAGCTCTTCCAGGGCTGAGCCAGCACACATCATTCTGGAAATCAATACAAATAATCACTTGTAAGAACCTTTTACTGAAGTTCGCAGGGAGCACGCAGCAAGTCTGGAAGCCTCTTTAAAAACGACCTCTAGTTTAATAGAATAAGCCACATTCTGCTCATGCAAGCACACCAAAGATGATAAAATGCATCGTCAGTAATATTCCGACTAATGCAATGTAGCAATTCCTGATTTTATACAAGGGACTAAAAACATCAACTTAATTAAATGAATTCATTTCGTTTATATTTACCTGTCACCGGCTTCAACTGTGTTCTCCTGTCCGTGAATTTCCTCAAGAGTCATAGTTATCCTATTATCCACTTTAGTCACCCGTAGAAGCACTCCACAGAAGAAGAGCTTTAGTCTGTGATCAGATGTAGCTGCGCTCCTCTTTTATAAGCAGCCGGCCGTGTTCTTCGGTCGTGGGCTGGCGGTACAACTGCAGTGCTCGCTGATTGGCTGAGAAGATAAAACGTATGTTAATGTCTTATAGTAATTATTGCGGCTCGTGTCTGGGCCCCACGTGGGGGCGGGATTACAATGCCCGAAGTCTGCTCCTTTTGTTATTTTGGTTACTGGGCAGACTGGAGCCTGCCTTTTTTTTATTAAAAAAAGAGATTAAAAGACTTCAAATGAAAGTGCGTTGCCACAAATTACTTTAATCACGAAGAGCAAGTTTGTAATCTGCAGGTGGCAGTTATAATCTTGTTTTCTGTAAAACAAGATATCCATGCGGAGTTTGCTTATTTTTTCCGCCAGTCAAAAGAAACAGCATTTTTAAAGTAGCTGTGATCACACGTCTGTCTCTGTCTTGCTTGGGCTATCAACAGAGAGAGAGAGTGTGTGGGGGTGGGGGGGTAATGGCAGATTGAGCACGGCACACGCCACTCCTTTGCATTTGTAAAGGCGACACAATGGCCAGACTTCGGCGTGTGGCGGTTTGGGGGTCTCAGCAGTTCACGCCATTCAGAATTGCTGCTGGGCTCCACCTGCCACTTGTATAGGATTTTCGACAAGGTGGGGGAGGTGGGCTGATCTCTGACCTGTCTTCTGCTATCTCCCCGATCTCGCTGTCACGTACCGCAGCAGATGTGCGTCCAGCTTCTGCAGCAGACACGAGTCTGCAGTCGCGTCTGAAACTTGCGCATTTCGATGAGCTCCGAAAGTTGAATAATTCAACACACCACGGTATGTTATTCTGACCGTGTTCAACTCTTTTTATTTTTACTTTGGCTTGAGAAAGAGCGCAGTTTCAAGACAAAGGCTCAATTTGTATTTTCCCTCTGTAGGCAACAGTGAAATATTTAAAAGTAGCTAAAACAAATTGATAAGAAAAACAACCAATACCATGTTCATGAGTCCTGAAATCCACACCTCAATAAGAAAAATAACTGCACTCAATTAATTATACATGCATAGTAGTCCGTTAATGACATGTTGTGAAATGCACGAATTGTTAATGTATTATGCACAAACTGTTATTCCCAATTTATGAAAACATTGGATATTTAAACCCCTCTCTTTAGTCAATTTATGAAATGCTTTTTTTCAAGCTTATCGTCTATTTGCAAACTTCAGAGCTGTATGAAACTGCAGTCGTGGCGCCACCTGCTGTTTATTTAAGTAGATTCCCGTGCTATGGAAACGACAAGAGACGCGTGCTCTTTCAGAGTCCCCCGAGTGGCTCGTGTACAGAAGGCCGCTCGCTGGGGTGCTCTGCAGCCACGAGACCCGTTAGCTGACTGCTGTCACAGGTTTCCTGGGAGAGTGAACAGCTGGGCAGCCCCTGTGTTATCGGTGTCCATTGCTGTGCTGAGACTCTTGGAGGCTCCACTCTGTCGATACGCTCTTTTAGCACAGTGGGCAGCCCGCGTGATAAAACTGCAAATGATTTGATAGCGCGTCAGACGCATGCACACCAGGGGTCTGTCGGGTGTTAGAATAGGGGCTTACTGGTTTAGGTAGGTAAGTAAGTCGTTCTGTGAATAGAGATCAAAAGCCCCTGTATACTTCATGTATCACAGATTAGCCTTGCAAATGTTATACACAAATAAGGTTTCAAAGGTTCTTTAATGTCTGATTGTATTTTAAAGTTACTTCCAAATTCTTAGTTACCTGCATTTTTCCTTGACATTTGTACATGTACTTTGTACCAATATTGAGTGTTAAAAAGGCAAAAGGGATAATTATATGTACCATTCCCTTTGATTAGTTTAATGAGCCTCCATCTGAGAAGTATCATTTAGAATCAGCATCTCAAATTTTAGCAGTTAATGTTTAAACCACACTTTGCTTTCGATATTCTCATAACCAAACCTTGAATCAATCAAATTTAAGATGATAGCTCACCAACAAGCCTTTTCTTTTATTGCTATAGTCCCAAAGTTGTACACCAAAGAACGAAGATTAGCAATGATTTGTCTGAAGCAACTCCTACATAAACTTGTATTATGGATAATTTTGTATAATTTCACAGTTTGCTTTCATGGTCCAATACCACATTATTAATAACCAAGAGTAACCTCCTTTTCTGTCTATTTCACATGCTGATTCCAAAATGCTAACATATGCATTTAGTTATCAAAGTGTTATAACTCAGAGGATGTTTTGTTGTTGGTGATGCTTGGAAAATATGAACAGTTGCAATTATCTAAAGCTCTTTCTGCAAATTGGGAATTGTGTTGGAAATTACACTTTGCAAAAATTGTCCATTTTGGATCGAATCAGTGTGACAGTAACTGATAATATGTTGAAGAACCAAATAATCTTTGCTTTAAAGCAGGGGTGCATAACTCCACTTCTTGGAGAACCTCACTAGCAATAAGTAGGCTTTCATCCCACGTAAAGTCTTAGCTTCATAATTGATCTACCTGGATCAATTTAACATCTCACAACTGAGACGTGAAAGCAATCATCTCACGCTAACAGAACATTTTGATAGAAAATGAGCTCTTGGAAGAATTAGTTGTGCGTTCCCTGACCGCTTCTGCCATCTAGTGGGAATTTTTATTACTGAATTTATTTTTGTCCTCGATTACAGTAAAATGCACTGCTCAAATTGAATAGACATGTCTGAATAAGTACACGTTTACTTTCCTTTTTATGGTTCATTCATAAAATTGTACATCAACGTTTCCACATTGTAGCCAGATCTTTAAGATCTCAGAAGCCCACACTATGATGACCAGGGAAACTATGATGTAGAGGTTGAGTTCTTCGGATGAGATGTTACAATGAAGTCCTGAGTACTTTTTCGTTAAAGAAATAATGGCTGTGTCAGAACATAAGAGCTGTTACAAACAAAAGGAATAATTTAGTCACATATAGGCTGCTACAGGTCACCCAAACAGGAGCTGCACTTCAGGGGTGGAAGTGGTCATACGGTACATGCTACACAACAAAAGCAAATAGAGCTTTAAACAGAAAAGTAGTAGAAGGAATGATCCTAACTCCATCCACTTACTGACAACTATATCTTAATACCTCTATCATACCCTCCCTTGTTTTTACCTTGGGAGCAGCTCCCTAGCTCATTCCCCTCTATAGTGAGGGATGTTCTGTCAGCAGTTAGCCTGTTGTTCTCACAGTTAGGTAAATTATGTCAAACACACCTTCATCACAGTTCCATCTTTATGTTGCATTTATTAGGATCTGACCAAACTTCAATTATTGATTTATTAGAATAGTCCAACTGAAATTCAATTATGTATACTTCGAAGAGAAACCATTTTAAAATATGTAAATTGCATTTAAATGTGATTTTGAAATGACCTGATTTTAAGGGCTTTCAAAGGAAATAGTTCTCAGGTAAATTATGCTACTGATAAAGAATATTTTTAAATGGGAACTATTGTTCCTTTTATTTGAAAACATTTATAGTGCAAGATCAGTATTGTGTTGGCTAAAGAAAAATAATAAATGAAAGAAATGGTCTATTCACTGTGGCTGATAATAAATTCTCCAGAAAAAAGTGATGTTATATTTTCATATATCAGAACTAATGTCATTCTGAAAATAACACTCCCGCTGATCTTTTTAAGGAAAATATGTGCCAAGCCGTACAAACTGGGGTTATATTGCTAACATTTTTACAGGATTTGGACACACAAATCACATATTCAAGTGCACATATTGCAGTACACTCCCAAGTGGTATCCATACCTACTCAAGAGGAATCGTTGTCTGTATACCCTTTTTAATTTTAAATGGCCATGCAATAACGAAATTCATACGTTAATTAAATACTCATTGTTTATTACTGGTAAATTAAATACAGAAAAGCAGAATCGATATGTTCATCAATGTAAACATTTTTTAAAAACTGTAAAAAAAATTACAACATCGGTATCCGTGTCAAAAGCTTTAAAAGTCTTTTGTTCTCTTTTTCTTCCTTTCAGCAGTTCTCTGAACTTCTTCCCACACATGTGACGTGTTCTTATTGATTTTCTTCCTGTCTAGATACTGTGAGTACTGCTTTTGCATCACAAGTGTAGATCTTGGAAATTCACAAGCGATTGCTTTCCAAAATATTTTCAGAATCCATCAAGCACCTTATGTCCCTCAAAACATTCCACGCCACTGAAAAGCACTGGTTCGCCCCTCATGAAGCCAGTGAATCTTGGGTCATAGAGACAGGGACTGTCCGTCTTCTCCTCCTTCAGGTCTCTGGGTCTCCTGACCAGAGGTTCCTCTATTCCTCTCCAGGAACATCAAGGATTTCAGGAATTCCATGCATTGCACATGTATTCCTCCAGGATGATTATTCCTCTGAGATTAAGCATTTCCTTCTTGGTCTGTAAAATCTCTTCAGCTCTCACAGAGAGATACTGCAGGTACCCATTCATTTAACCTCTGGTTTTCTTCACAGAACAAGTTCAGTTTCTCTAGAGCAGGATCTTCCCATGAACTTTCAGTGGTGTTCTGTTATAAAACAAAAGACATAATGATTACTTTATTGCTCAGTAATGTGCTACATTGTGGTACTTGTTATCAATGAACACAGTGTTAAAGTTCATATACAGTAGTTGTAAGAGATACATACCGTGATGAGAATGCAGTGCGCATCTTGGGGTTCGCCTGACTCGTCGCTCCCGACGATCTCAGCCAGTCGCTGGATGTCATTCACCCTCACGATGTTGATGTCGTTGTCGAAGCAGAAGGCCTGGATTAAGGTGAAGTGGATCTGCAGAGCGATGTCCCACTCGTGCCCCTCATCGGTTGCCAGAACACAGAAAGCCACGCTGTCTGGGTCACTGGAAGAGAAAAATAAACCGAAATTTAACATTGCGTTTCTTTCCTGTTACATTATTGTACATTATATTATGTCTTACATAGGAAGTGTAGCATTAGATATACTTACTCATTCATAATTTGTGCGGACTCGTAGACACCAACTGTGAGGCGTTCCTCGTTTTTTGCGGAGGTGAGAGCTTCTTCCAGGGATTTGCCTGCAGTCTGCATCTTGTAGTTTGTTGGACGACTTTTTGATAATACTGCTGCGACCAAGTATTGAAACAGTATCTTGTCCTACTCGCTGTGTAGTCTCTGGCTTTATAGTGAGCAGCTGGCTCTCTCTTTAGTAGGGAGGTCCCTGATTGGCTACAAGAGAATAAAAAGTTTTAGTGTGGCGCGTGTCAGAGCATCGAATGACCCGTGCAAAATTTATTACAAATCATTTCTATACAACAATTTACATGCGCGAGCCCTCAGCTAACACTTATTCTTCAATACCCCACAATTTTAGGAAAAATAATTTAACGTGGAAGATGAAGATACCGGTTTTGTACCTCTGTTAGACCACTGTTCCGCAATATGCAGTGTTATGTCCCATGTCGTAATTCTGTTTTTGTATTCCTCATTTTAAAAAATGTCATGTATGTACATCTTTTAAAAATATGCATAAAGAAGATTCCTTTCGTCAAACGCACAAAGAGAAGTTTCTTCTGCAACAGCAATAAGAAAAACGTGTTTTGATTAAGAAAATCTCTCCCCTTTATGATATAACCTGATGTGTTACGGCTTTAATCAAGAGTTATGGTGTGCAAATATAAAAAGTTAATCTGATTCTAATGTAAAATACGAAATCGACCATTTCGTATTATATTAGTCTGGTTCCTTGCGCGCAACGTTCCATTGAGACCTTCTTTCAAGAAAGGCTTTTACTTTAAGTAAGGTGAAGTTTTTTTTTTCTTTGTAGCAGATTGAAAGTGGCACGCGTTGCTTTGCATTTGTAAAGAGTGGCTAGACAATGGTCAGACTTCGGCGTGTGGCATCTGGAAGTTCGAACAATTGTTTTTTTTTTTCTTCTCCAGATCTACATTGGTCCATCTGTCAATATGCTCCTTGTTCAATGTGCGTGGGGGTGGGTTGACGTTTTGTAATCTGTTATACCTCACACATAGGCAGCCGTCTAAAAGACCGCTCAATATTTCTGCATTTTCTTTTTGTTTATAATAGGTCGAATGTCTCAGTAGCACAGGGCTCAAATCAAATTAGAACACATACACGGAGTTCTGCTTTAAATTCCATTCGGTGGCTTAGGTCATACACTAAAACACAAACTTTTCAACACCGGACAACGCTGGCAAGGAATATACACTTTTTTTAATTAAAAGTGCATCCTATGAAAGAAGACGACGCGAAGATCTTAAGGAGGGCAACACTCTTAAACCAGAAATGTTCTAACATTGTGAATGAGTACTTTCCTTACAGTGTGCAATGAACGTGTTGACAAACGAGGCAGATTGTGCCGGGAGCACGCTGCTAATTTGCATTTGTAAAGAGATGCCAGATAACAGGCGGACTTCGGCATGTGGATCCCTACAATGGGATCCTTCTTTTTCATAGCAGCACTGGACCACCTGTCACTATGGCTATTTCGCTCAAATTGGGGGAGGGTCTTTGAGCCGGTTGAGTAGTCTTGAGCTTATTTTGCCTTATACATTAATATCTAGTTGCACGCGTCTCAACGAAAATGTTTTGAAAGCCCGACCTTCTAGTTTGTTGTCCTAATTTCTGCTTTTGGTTTTACGCCTGCTTTTACCTGTGCAATTCATCTTGTCGAGATTACTGTGAACTGTGCAAACCTAGATCAAAAGCCATCACAGAAGTAGACGTCGAGGGACTGGTGCTGATAAACTAGACGAGTCATTAAGAAGATGGCTAGGCCGAAAACTCGCCGCCGCTGGAAACTACTGGTCCTTGTGGAAAGCAGCTCTTGAAATAATCCGCTTGATTGTTACATTGTGATTTGGGGATCTGATACGTGTTAGAAGTGGGTTGGGGGTTATTTAAAAGTTTAAAGCGACTTTTATCGGATGGCCTATAATGAACAGGCACGCGTTGTTCTGCATTTGAATAGATGTCATAAACAATGGTCAATTTTAGACGTGTGCCATCTGCAAGTCTGAACCTCTGCTTTTTTTTTTTCTTGGTCTTCATAGCGACACTGTCCCATCTGTTCCCTGGTAGCCTACCACTAAAGGTGAGGGGGGTGTCAGTTTTATCGTCCATCCTCATATCTATTATTCGCCCCAGGAATCCAACATCCAAATATTAAATATTAGGCATGCTCAAGTCCACCTATAAACTGTTGCGGAGTGAATAATAATCCAAAAGAAATACACACGCATCTATTTTGATCATCCTAATTGCTCATTCGAAACACAATACTTTAGTTAGAAAATATTAACTTTTTAATGTGCTAATGTACTTATTACTTAATGCACTTTGCACTATTTTGAAATCTTTGGAAATCTAATTTTTGCAAATTGTTTAACAGATTGTTATATTGTCTTCTTATCATGTTATCTGAACCTTAAGATAACGTGCCACAATTTAAACGTGTCGCTTAACTACTGGACTGCTATTGTTACTCTACTGTCGCTAGAACTGATTTGTAACTTTCTATCAAAATGCAATGCATTAGTCTTTAATCGTTTTTAAATTAAAAACCTAGATATGAAACACTATTACTATTTCACTGCAACAGATACGCATAGGATGCTAGCACTTATAATTAAGCAGTATTATCCGGCAAAATGAAGCAGATTGTGCCCGACACACGCCTTTAATTTCCATTTGTAAAGAAAGCTTTAACAATGGGAGGCATTTCTGACAGGGGGCTCGTACAAAGGAATCGTTTTACTCCTTCGCAAACTCCACCTGCTGCACCCATTTCTCCCCCTTTTTTGGAGAATCAAAGGTTCTTCCCTATATCTGTGTACTAAACACTTCTAATTACAGATTATCTGTAGTGCAATTATCACCACAACACTTGAAGTATCAAACTGCACAGCGGTTATGATAAGAGCAGTATCACAATCCCGACTAACTACTCTGAAGGAACTGTATTCTGCAGAATTAGCTTTTGTATCTACTAGTTACTGTTTTGTAACTAGACTTTTGTATGTCTAGTGCTACTTTAATGTTCCAGGTTTCAAACGGACTACATCTTAGATTAAATTAGACTAAAACTGAACGATAGAAGTGTCAAGTAAACGTATGTATGGAGAAGCTTTGAAACTCGGGGCAATTACTTTGCTTCCGAATCTCTCCGCATAGCGGCAAACAAAGGACCTTTGACAATACGTGTCTCCATGGAACCGGCACCCGGCCACGAGCCTGGGGGGACAATACTTCGTATTAGCATACCAATGCTTCACACGCGCAGCCAATGAGAGGGCGAGCTATTCATGAGTACGGGATTTGAGGATTTAAAAACGGAGGCCAGGACGTTCAGGATCATTCTCCGCTTGGATTTGCTTCCGAGGTTTACACATTTCACCTTTTTTTTTTTGCAATTTACAATTACCGCAACTTGCATCATGACTCTTGAAGAGGTCCTTGTTCAGGAATGCACCGAGGCCAGGGTTCAGTCTCCTGGGAAGGCATTAAAGGACATTTTAGTTTCGGCAAAAGCGCAGAATTGTCTCACTGTTGGAGTCTACGAATCTGCAAAAGTTATGAATGTGTGAGTATTATTATCCATACTACATTTATTTTGATACTGTGCGAAGTGGGGGAAATTTCATGCGACATGCTGGCTAACAAAGTACTAATTATGATTTGTTTTAATTTGCAGTGACCCAGACAGCGTGGCTTTCTGTGTTCTGGCAACCGATGAGGGGTACGAGTGGGACATCGCTCTGCAGATCCACTTCACCTTAATCCAGGCCTTCTGCTTCGACAACGACATCAACATCGTGAGGGTGAATGACATCCAGCGACTGGCTGAGATTGTCGGGAGCGACGAGTCAGGCGAACCCCAAGATGCGCACTGCATTCTCGTCACGGTATGTATCTCTCGCAACTACATGAATTGTCAACAAATATCGTCCAACAAAAACAAATATCGTTGCGATCCATTCCCGAAAAGGATACTAATAGTTTTTTTTTTCTTATTTTATAACAGAACTCAGCTGATAGCTCGTTTGAAGATCCTGCTCTAGAGAAGCTGAACTTGTTTTGCGAAAAAAGCAGGGGGTCCAACGAGTGGTTGCCTGCTGTATCTTTCCCAGAGCGCTGAATTGGGACTTGACGAGAGTCTTTGGAAGTGCTTACACTATGAGGAAAAATCATCCTGGAGTATATGGATGAAAAATCCAAATGAAGACCCAGTCAGGTTCTCAGAAGAGTCTGAGGAAGACCGGGACAAGATACCGAGGTCCTTGCGGTTAAGGAGGACGGGTTACAATAAGACGATACTCCTATGGGGCTGGAGTACCTGGACAAGAAAGACGAGTCTTCCAGTTGGGTGCAGACTTAACAGGAAGAGAAGAAAGGAGTCAAGAGATAAAATACACAGAATGACTCAAATGTGAAAAATGTGCTTACGCGTCATTACGTATGTAATGTACTTTTCAATTTAGTAGCTAATTAGCTTGTTTGATTGTGTTTAATATGAAAGATCTTCAGTATTTAAATAAACCAATATAAGAAAGAAATCTTGGTGTTACTTTTTCCATGTAACTTCAACAAACGTAATTTGGTTTACAGTCCATCATGGTTACTTTTAGTTTGGATATAAATGTTTTCGATTGGTAATGTAAAATAAAAGTCCAACACATTTACGTTTTTGAAGGCCTCATATTCTAACGATCTTGATCTATTCAATAATTGTAATTTAAAAGCAAGATACACCAGGCCTTAAAAAAATTGTCAAGCGCTGTTCCCATTTTAGGCCTGCACCCGCTTTTACCGAGTGGAGGTTTTCTGTGCACATCGTTTATGAATTAGTGTTTTACAAAACTGTTTTATATTCGGCAAAGTACAGCGAGTTTCCAAAGTTTGCATAAATTTCCTGCTCACTGAGACCTTACTCTTTATCTTGCCTGCTCTCCGCACTGGTCATTAGCATTTGCAAAGGAAAGCACAATAGACTTTTCACGGGAGACATCTCCAGGTGCCTGCTGTTGTCCCCTTTATTAACCAAATGTCTTTACAACAGAACTGCTCCATCTGCCAGCTTCGTAGTGGGGAGGGGGGGTTACTTTCTCCAAGTAGAAGGATTCTTTTGAACGTCCAAAAGGACGAGCGCAACTACAAAAACTGTCATTGCATTGTCAACTTCGAAGTTAAGCAAACACAATTTAGGAGATTAAGAAAAAGTATTTACACGTGATAAAACCATGACACCCTACCGACAAAATAATCAATCGAATACACACTTCAGAATGGCCTGAGAAGTCTGTTGGTGTCCATTATGCTTTTATTAAAAAGATCGTGAAAACAAAACTGAACTCGATTACAATTAACAGACCAGTACAAGAATATCACAGCGGTAAGGTGCGCGAGGGAAAAAACGGAGAAACAGTTCTTTAACTGAAAAGAAGACTTTGTTACTTTTCTATACAAAATGCCACATAAAAACATTCACAAAAAATGCAATCGCTGATATTGCAGGTCATAGCATTTCGTCTCTTGATGTTTTATATATATATACACACCGGAAAACCAGCACAAATACATTTAGCAATAATATATCATTCTTCTCCTATATACAAATAAAAATGATCCAGCCTCTACCAAATGTTTCATATGTTGCATCTGCCAACAAGACTTTTAATACTCTTTAGTACTGGGAATGTTCTATGTTATTTCTAAATGTAAAAAACAGGTAAAATATACAAAAGTAAAAGCAACTTTCAGCGCTGAGAGTAAAAATCATGATCACCTGTAGTGTCTAAAGACATGAAAATCCATGAAAAAAGGAAACATTCTGCCTGTATTACTGTATAGCCAAAACATGGACTTCTTAACCAAACCTTTATTTGGGATTTGATGATGAAGATGTTGTTTTAATTATTTTTTGTAGATGCTGGAAATGTGTTACAACGTGTAGCAATGGGAATGCCAAGCTTTTGCTAAATTAACTCTCTAGGCATGCCTCCTATGGCACCTTTAATTGTCAGCAAACACATTTCCAATTAAAGAACTAGTCCTTCACAGTCAAAAACACTGTTTCTTCTTCCTCATTATCTTTATTGCTGAGGGCAGTTTGTTTAGTTCATCACATTTCTTTGACCGCATTTCCAAAGGATCTCTAACTCGGATGGGCTAAAGAAGTGAACTTTTCAAGCTTGAACACTATGAGGGGACCTGCAACTTTAATTTTGACTCAAGGAAAATCCTTAAGGGACCCGAGAAAGCCAGCCTGCTGGGCTTTTTACCGAAGCAATCCGAGTGCAGTACCTTGCTCATGAGTGCAATAGCAGTGCTCAGTCACAATCCTTCAGTTATAAGTTGAAAGCCCTAATCACCACTCTGCAATACTGCCCCAGTAAATAATAACCATGCTAACAAAAGCAAAAGGCTGAAATAACTAAGAGTTTTAAAATTCCCAAACTGGGAAAAGCATATATTTTATCATCACCGCTTCCCGCGATGAAAAAAAAATGTTTTGCAGGCATTTTTTCTACCTTAAAAAGACATTAAGGGATCACATTTCACATGTTCATGTCTTTGCAGAGACCATTATTTTCTAGATGTCACAATACACTTCAGGGCAGTGCATGGAACAGACAGTGCACAGTATTTTCCCCTTCTTCCTGGAAGGAAGCAGGGAAGATCCTCTACATTTCATCAGAGCGATGCTGCTGTATTATTACAGAAGTGCTTTTCCTGTCCATCCAGTCGTCTTTATTCACTGCAGGGCCTGTAGTCTGATAATCCCTTACTTCTCTTGCCGAGGCCTGGCGATTGTCCTGGCCGGCTGCGGGTGCGAGGTTGGTTTTACCCTGAGACGGGAAGTCGGAGGACGAGTTGCTGCTGACGGCAGATTCTGACTCGGCTTGATCTACTTTCTGATAATCTGGGGTGTGATTCTGGCCACCAGGCTTCAGCGTGGTCTTGATGTGTTCTATGCTGGGAAGGAAAACATCTTTGCTGTCCATGTCTTTAGCCCCTTCTCCATATTCCAACTTGTTCGTTTCCATGGAAGGAAGGGATCGAATATTTCTTGAAAGTACTGGGGAAAAAGAAGACCACAGAGTAATGCAATTTTAGATTTTTAGCATTGGCAAGTTTCCTAGAAATTACAAAGGGAGTCGAAGCGAGATACACAGCTATGAGAACATAACAGAGTGCCAAGCACACTGTCTCATGGATCAGAGGCAGCCAAATTAGTTTGAGTTTGGACAGCATGAGAATGCCGCAAGTTTTAAAAAACAAATCAGGCAATAAGTCTATATACAGAAATTACACTTAGGAAACAGACTTACCATTTGAAGAGATGTATAGATCCTTCTGGTTTCTACTGCTGCCAAACGGATTTACGCTTGGGAAGATAATCAAACAGAAGGACAACAGGAAGACCTGAGGAAAGAAATTCAACACTGTAGACTGCAGCAGCAAAAGACTAATATGCTGTGTGAACCTTAAAGATGGAGTTCAGACACCTCTTATTAATACAGTTACAAAGAAAATGTGATGTCAGCCGATTTCTAAAGCTCCTAACGTATTCTGATGGAAAAAAGAAACCCACCATTTTCTGGAATGAGAAGTACTTTCACAAAAAGTTGTCAATTTGTTTTAAGCCCTCTGACCAACAATACAGCTTGTGCAGTGAGGCATTGGAACTTGCCAATCACACGAAAGCTTGTTAGGTGCACTTTTACCCAACGAGGTCCAGGTGGAACAATGCCTGATCAGGTGACCTTTAAAAAGGCCTTAATTAAAAGCTTAGGTCACTACAAGAAAAAGGCCACACATCACTTTTCTGTGCATTCCATAATGCCTCAAATGTTGCCAGAAGCAAAGGAGAGGGCCATTGGCATGCTGCAGGCAGGCATGTCATGTGCCAGCGTTGCCAGACACTACGGAGTAAGCCCCTCCACTGTGTCAAGACTGCAGAGAAGGTTTCAGCAGACCGGCAGGACAGATGACCGTCCAAGATCCAGTCGCCCCCGTGTGACCACACCAGAGCAAGACCGACACATCAGACTGGTCCATCTGAGATATCGTTTCAGATCTGTCATCCGTACTGCTGCTGAAACTAGCGGTAGACACAATGCCCGCATCTGTGACAGGACAGTGGGGCTCCATGTTGCTGGCCTTAGAGCAAGGCGACCTGTCAGAGGCCCTCTGCTCACACCTCCTAGATGTCACACCCGACTGGCTTGGGCAAGACAGATGTTGCGATGGACTCGTCAGTACTGGCACCAGGTCCTCTTCCCGGATGAGTCACTCTTCAGCCTGTTCCACGCAGACCAGAGGGCCAAAGTGTGTAGGAGTATGTGTTGTTTCTTTTTTCCCCATCAGTATATTTGCAATGTACTATTTTTCAAAGTCATAGGTTGTATACTTTCAAAAAAGCACAACACCTAGCTGAGAATAAAAGTATTTAATAACAGTTACTATATTTGGTCAAATTCAAAAATCTTTACTGGATTCTTACTGGATAACCGTATGAAATCAACACACTGTTAGTGTAAAGTAAAGCAGTATATCTTGAACTTCAGTTCAACATCATCTACATCTAACCTCCTTTGTACAGCAATACACCGTTTCCATATTTTCATCCTTGTTCTAACATTAAAAGCTAATGATATGGTTATTCTGTCAGGAAACCCATTTTCCAGTCATACCCCATTCAACCTTCCTGAACTCAAACATTATATACATTACCTGGCTTGTAAAAAGTAAAAAATCATGATTTCATTTTCTGGAAAAAAAAATGCTAATTTCTTTAAACCACCTGGAAAGTGGTTTCAGAACCTAGGGAAAACAGCACAGTCTAATGATGATCTGAGTGGTGTGAGTTAATTACAGGGACAACAGAGGTACACGGAAAACCTACTCACCATGATGAAGGTACTGGTAGTTGTTGTCTTCATCGTGGTCTGTTTCATCAGTGACTGCAGCTTCCTCAACTGCTCTATCAGAGACCTGACGGCAGAGGACAATTCGATTATTCCCTGCAGTACTTCACATAAATACAAGAGCAGGTTTTCCGTGTCAAGTGTTGACTTCACTGGCTTTTCCTAATGGGATCAAAACACATAACCGAAGGTGTACGTCACGGTTTGAGGACAGATGTCTGAAGTGATGGCAAACAGACTGTTCCCTTACATATTTTGCTTCTGTAGCTGTTGCACCTTCTTCTGCAGTTCCTGGTTCTGGGCAGTGCAGGCTGCCACTCTGGGAGAAAAACAAAAATAAAATAAAATGTATTTGTGTATATGCACGCTTTCCATACTCAGTGCATCACAGTCAAAGTTTCTAACTTTGGTGAAGAGACTTGCCTTCATGGGTCTAATCCAAACGAGCAATTAATCCGAATGAACAATGATTGAAATGATAAAGGAGTATATCTAAAGGCAATGAAAACATTATTTAATGTCCCGTTATTTTCCATTTTCATACTACGAGTTATGCTAAAGAATTTTTAGCTACATTAAAGAACAGAGTTCATATCAATATCAATAAATCTGTTAAAAATTCAGTGCTATTCAATGATAGCTTTAATTTTGTCAGTTTGGCCATATATATATACACATCAATTCCTCATTTTACGAAAGAGGTAAATTCCTTGAAAGTTGTTAATCAAGAAAAAGTTCATTAAACAAAACTGAACCTCCCATTAATTAAAGACAATAATTAGAAATGTGACCTGAGACCATGTGTGCAATAATAACAGCAAAGGAACTTATAAGTGCACACAAAGAAGGACTAATTTAAGCAAGCATTCAGTCTTTGACATCTACAGGTGAATATTCATTCGCTGGCAGAACCTGAAAACTAAGGTTTGGAGGCAGGTGACTAAGGAAGTAGGAAGGACAAGGAAGTTTCAGCTAAAAATCACAGAAATAGCTAAAGCTCTGAGGAGGCTACCGTAAATAACAAACAATGCAGGACAAAGGTGGCAAAAGGCAGAGCATGGGATGGTGAGCAGGGCAGGCACAAATAAGTGCCTTGGAGTGCTTTGGTTTTAGTGAAAATTAATGACAAAAAAAAAAGAGTATTCATTTTTCAGATGTGCTGATGCAAAACGTATTTGATGAAAGTATCTAAAAAAAAACTCAGAACTAGCGTCAATGAAAGAACCCAGGAATGAGATCAAAGAGGGCGGAACAGCACTATTGTCCTTCAAGCGTATACAGTTCTGTGAATATAAGAAATCATAAATTTTGTTTTGTTTTCTTAACATATAGATGCATATGGAATTTCATTAGCAGATACATCACTACTGCAGAAACATAAATAAATTGAAAATGACAGCAAAAATGATTCCTGCATCTAATGAACAACTGTCCTGTAACAAACTCAACATCACCAGAGGTGAGACTCTTCCTGTCTGCTTACCTGCTCTCTAAACCATCCACATACACCTTTTTCTTTTTACGGCTCTCCTGAGCAGACTGCTTGTTGCGGATCTTTCTTCTCACTCTTTTCAGAGTCCTTTCTTCAGCCTGAAGAAACATTACTGTTGTTTATTATTAGACACACTATATGCATAATAAAAACAATATGTAATGTTTTTCTAGGATATAAATATCAGGATGAGCATTATTTTACATTCTGTTTGTAGGACGGAGCAGAAAACCTAGTATCTATTATATGATCAATGAAAAAAATGAAAAGTCTAGCAACACAATATTGAAGTTTATCAATTGCTGGTTATCTTTATATATACACATTAAGCCTTCCAATTTGAAAATCTGTTTTTTTTTCAAATAACAATCAATCAGCTC